CTTTTGTTATTGACAGTGCACTCGCCGCGCTGCGGCTGTTGCTGCATACTAAATACTGCAAGCAATAGCGCCATCTTTAGCTTGCGAGACAAATTTAATTGTTTATGAAGATTATTATTCACCTCATAATTATATTTATTATAATTATATTCATTTTTTGAATTTATTTCCCTGGTTTTGGCTCACAAGCTTTGGTTTCTTCGAACTCCGTGTAGAGCTGCTGCACCAGGGCAGGCACTTGGGAGTTGAAGCCTGTGGAAACCCCAAAGTGCTTTCTGAGCCTTGCCTCGATCATCGCCTTAAATGTGGCTTGTTGTTCTGTCAGAAAAGAAATAAAAGAGTTTAATGCAATTCGAGAGATGCAGTGCAGCTCTTTTAGCGTTTGTCATCTCGAAAAACACTGAAAAAAGATGTTAGAAAAGGCGCGCTTGTTGGCGCTTCTTGCAGTCTCAAGACAAAAACATGAGTAAAAAGGCATAAAACAATTGGCTGATGAATTTAAAATGTAGACAAGATGAAAGAATGGAAGAAAATAAATGACATGAACCCAAAAAGTAGTTTATTTCCATCTTATTCCCCCTTGACTCTGGCACCAAACGCAGTAAGTTCCATGCAGTACGTTGAAGATGCAAAACAACTCAAAACTTCGAAAAAGAAATACAAAAAAAGTGCAAATTCAGGTTAAATAAAAGCAATGATTGCAGCAAACAAAACGAGCCCGACAGAAAAGCTTGCAGTTGAATTAAAGAGTTAAAGCAACTAAATTGGAGATGTCCGTGGATGCAGATTTCCCAATTCATGCATTAAAGAACTGTACTTTTGATTGAAGTATTATTGAGTTTAGAGGAATTTTCGGTTATTAGGAAGTCAGAAAAGTCAGCAGAAAATAATTAAGTGGTGCTTTTACTCTGTTGAAAAGGTCCGTGTCCTTCGTACCGAATAAATTGTTGAATTCTGGTTAATTGACTTCTCTAATGTCTGATTGAATTAAATTAATTAATAATTTCCACAATTTGAATAGATATTAGTGCATGCAGAACGAGTCAATTAATTATTTCCACAAGTGCCGTCGCAGGTTGATACTTTTGCACGTTTCGCTCAAGTTGAGTGCAAATGGAACATTTCGCAGACAGCTGTGAATAAATTAAGCAAAACTATAAATAGTTTTATGCATTATTAGGCTTTTAGTTGAACAAAGATGCTTCATTATCTGCAAATTCAATTCAGTTCACCAATTGGTGTTTCTTTATTCATGCCTTGCTCGCCAGTTGCACACCTGGAGATGCATCCCTAGGTAAGCACTTTTTAAATTGATCCAAAAGTTAGATATCAAATACTTATTAATTAATTAATTAATTAATTAATTAATTAATTTATTTATTTATTTGTATTTGTGCTTACCGTAGGCCAATGCGACAGTTTGCAGCAGCCGAAACGCACGAAATGATTTCACGTGAATTTGCTGCGCATCTGTGGCGAGGGCTCTGGCAGCATCGACAACATGCGAATATTTATCTCCCAATTCGTCCACTGAGTGTTTAATTGCAGCTTCGTATTGATCTTGAGGAAGATTGGAAATCAAAATCTGGTCAATGGCGATGTCTATCGCCTCCGAAACTAAACACGAAAAATGGGACACGCACAGCAGGAAAAGAGCAAATTTAAAGGCTCAACTTGCTTATATTTCAACGCATTTATAAATAAATGCCAATTTATTTCATATATGCACAAAAGAAATGAAACAAAGGCCGAATTTAGGCGCAGATATAAGCGCAGCTTGGCAGCAGCAAGCATATCCATTCTTGCACGGCGCAGTGAGGGCTGCATACAAGTTTGAGTTGAATTGAAAAGAATTTCCTTTTTAAAATATTTTTGCATGAAGAGAAAAGCATTAAAGGGCCTCAAAGCATTAAAGAGCCTCACCTTCGGTCTCGTAGGGGGCGCACTGGTCTCTGGTGACTTCGAAAACGTTTTCTCTGATGAATCTCCTGACCACTGGTTCTGCCTGCGACTTCAAGAAAGAAGCTGCTGCAATTTTGCTGCAGTTGTCTTTTCCAAATCGAATAATTGCAGCATCTCTTTGAGGCAGAATGGCAATGGCCGGGCGGATCGGCTCGCAGGTGTCCTGCGTGATGATCTGTCCCAGTTGAGCGTGCAAAGACACATTTCTTTGCTCCGAAGGAGTCAAAGAAAAAGTAAATACTTTTTGCAAAGACTCGTAAAGGTGGTAAAGGCTCAGAGACGAACGGAAAGGCAACAAGTTCACGTGAATGGACGACGTGTCCACCACGCTGCCTCCGCCCGCAGGAACCTCCACTGTGCAGAAAACACATTTCAATAAAACCGAATCAACAAATTGGCAAAAACAAAAAGAAACAAAAGGCGGAAAAAACTACAAACAGGCCCTTTAATTCGATACTGTCATCACCAGACAGCGGTGAAATCTTTCATCAAAGTTAAGTCAAAGTTAAATACGAGAAAGGTGTGCATGCATGTTTTTGCGCATTTATCCTTTTGAATTAGCAATAAAAGTATAAGTGTTTATATCTATACACTGCCGCGGGTATTTGTGCATTAATTTATAGGCAGATATGCTGGCGCTTCTTTGCATCTGCACGAGAACACATTTACAGGCATTCGATTGCTTTCTTGGCAGTTTGCATGCGTGAATTTGAATAAATATTTTCAAATACTTCATTCAAAATGTATATTTTCAAGATAGATGAATATATAAACCAATATGAATGCGCACATGCGTGCAGATCTGTGTATGCAAGCTTGTATGTGTTGCATGATCGTCTAAATAGCCTTAAGTGCCTCTATTCATTATATTATATTATCATATATATATATATATATTGATATTAAACAAATATATATTCATGTATCTGTGCAAATATATTTAAAAGGGCGTTCATATGCATGCATTTGCATGCGTGTCTAGGCTCAGAGGCCTCACGTGCGATCTCCTTGCCGAGCACATCAATGACAACGTCATAAACAATCATTGCGAGTCTCCCGGCGTTGTCAGGCACAATATAAGAAACATATTTGCCCATCATGGCCTGGCGGACTTCGAAGATGAGCTGGCTGGGGTTCGACGCGAGCGTGGCTGTTCAAACAAAGAGGAAAGCGAAAACGGAAAGTCAAGGTGAGCTGATCCGCCGCTACAAACCGGTAATTTTCGCTTTAAAAACGACAAATAAGCATTAAAAAACAATTAATTAACTACAATTAATTAATAAGCCTTCTGCCGTCTCTCTTTGGCGCTGCAGAATATGCAACTGCTCTCGAAATTTCGAGCCATAAAGCATAAGCCGTGAACACTGACGCACTTCTTCTCCTCGATGCATCTTAAATCTACTCGAGGCATGTAACCCTAAACCCTAAACTCTAAACCCTAAACCCTAAACCCTAAACCCCGAGGAAACCAGTCGAAAACTTTGCATGCAACTCTGAAACTTGAAACTGGAGATCTATCTTTGAGACCAGCTGCGTAATCCCTGAGGCTGAGTCCGAAACCTTGTGGCCATTTAAATCGTCGGGCTTACGCGAATAAGTGAGAGTGTGGGTAATCTTTTTCGAAAAAGAACGGCTCATTCCTTTTGCTTTTCTTCTTGTCATTCCAGTTTTGCTCAAAAAGCTGTACGCGCTGATGTAGATGCGGCGGCGGAGCTCCCTGTGAGAGGCTGCAGCGAACGCAACGAAGGAAAACTTGAATAAGGCAAAATAAGATTAAAAACTTTCGAAAACTGCAACAATAAAAAGGGAAAATAGCACAAAATAACTCGAAAATAAAGACAGAGGTGAGGATTAACAGAAGTTCCATTAAAACTGCACAGAAAAGGGGAAAAGGCAAGAAAAAGGCATTATTCTGAAGACATCAGTAGTGCCCGCATACATAAATAAGTACACAAATGGAGATATACATATATATAGACAAAATATAATGGACTATAAAGACTCGTTTGCTGCCATAAGTGTTCAAGTGCATGCAAATATGAGTTCAAATAAGCGCATTTTGTGTATCTGCTAATGCAGTTGCATTGCATGCATTTTGTGGATTTGAACGCATTTTATAGATGCAGGCATAGACAAACAAATATTAAATGTGAATAAATATAAATACAAGTGAAAAAAAGTGCAAAAAGCGAACCTAACAAGACACAATGCTGCACATGGTTGAGGAGCGCGTCTCTTGCAGCTGTTGCAGTTTCCTCGATGTTCCATTCCTTCAACTTTTTGAAAACTCCTTCGAATTTATTTCTTTCTTCTTTATTCATTTTATTCAGCAAACTGTTGAGACGCAAAATGCGATCGTGAAACGCGTAAGCCTGCAAAGGGTTCATTCCCCGCAGCTTCTCTGCGTCCAAGTTGTAGGCCTTGTACTGCTCCAAGTAGGACATGTGCTGCAGCAGCAAAAGGAATGCAAAATAAAGTGCAATTAAATGCGAAATAAATAAATAAATCGTCTGTCGGGAGGAATCTCCAGGAAAAGGAAGCAAATGGGAACAAGAGGTCATGCAACAACTCAGAAGCAAAGGGAAAGCCCTTCCCAATTTAATTTAATTTAATCGCCAAGAAGAAAGGGTTTAAAACCGAGGTTTATAAAAGACGTAATTTTGAATCGCTGCAAAACCTACGAAAATCATTTCCTGCAGTTCGTGTCCTGGAAGTTGGAATGCTGCTTCCTCTCTGAAGCATTAGTTAGAACGGAAACACGCAAACAAATGCCCCAACTTCGAGTTTAAATGCTTCAAATTGCTAATGAATAGTAAACAACTTTATAGAAGAATGAAATGCATATTTAGATTGGCATTTTTCGTTGCTGCAATTTGCCCCGCCAATGCGACAAACTACACAGTGCATGACCGCTGGCAAATTAGCGTGGGCAGCAGCTAGCGAGATGGAAAGAAAGAATAATTTGAAGAAAGATTAATTCAAAGAAAGAATAATTTGAAGAAAGATTGATTCAAAGAAGATTAATTTGTGCTGTTTTGTTACCCCATTTGTGCTTGCACGGCTGCACTGCCCAGCAAGAAGTTGGTTAGAGCCTTTTTGTTTGACTGGAACTCTTCGAGCGCCTGCACTCTTGTCTTGTCTTCGAGCATTCCTTGGTAGGCGAAGTAAAGGCCATAAACGGGTTTGGTGATTGCGTTTAAAAGCATGGCGAGAAACAGAGTGGAGTCCAGCGCAGAGACGGAAAAGTGAATGGTGCCCCGGACCAAGGCGGAAATCTTGTCAGCATTCTGAACTAAAAAGGAAGCAGAGCCCCTGAAAGTGTCGAAAATGGCAAAGTAAAACTTTCCTTCGCCCCCAAACCAACGAATAAATGTTTCTGCCTTTTCAAACCAAGCTGCCACAACTCCAAACAGCTTCAGCATGCGAAAATGCCGGATGATCTTCCTGAGGCCAACCTCCTGCGTGCCGCGCAAAAGGAAAAACCGGGAAAGAGGCAACTAAATTGCAAACTGAGTACTTATGGAGTAAAACTAAAGACAATTATATGTTTAAAAGGCAAAAAATGGAATTAAATAAACCAAAATGCGCTCTTTTTCTTACCATTGCCCACTGCCAGGCTTTGCCGAAGCGCGCGAGCACTTTGTGAAGTCCAACGTTAAGAGCTTCTGCGGTGAGTCTGACGCTGGTCTTTGCCAGTTTCCAAGCTCTTCTTTTTCCTTTTGCTTTTTCGGCCTTGGCTTTCTTGAATTGGGCCTTCGCCTTCTCGAAACTGACCTGCGCTTTGTTCTCCTTGATGCGTTTCAGCATGATCTGACGCACGTCTTCTGGAGTTGTCGGAGTTTGTTGGCCTTCGGAGGTTTGGCTTTCTCCTGGTGCCAGGGAGGCGGAGCTTTCCACAGCTTTCGCTTCTTCTGCTGCTGCTGCTGCTGCTGCTGCTGCTGCTGCTGCTGCTGCGCTTTGCGCTGCTGCTCCGGGCTCTGCAGCTCTTCGCTGCGGGGCGCCTTGCTGCTGTTCTCCCTCTGCCTCAGAGGCAGCTGCCGTCTCAGCCTCAGGAGAGGGCTCTGTGGGTCTTGTGGTGTCTTCTTTCTGGGGCTTGCTTTCGGTCTTCGCCGCAGAAGAGTTCACTTCCTCTTCGAGCTCCCGCTGCTTCAAGTCTTCGCCCGCCAGGGCCTCTTCCGCAGTCAACTCGCCCCACCTGAGGCCGAAAAGCTCCATGTCTTTTTCTTCGGAGTTTTCGCCCAAAGACTGCTGCGTGACTTCCTTCATGTGCATCTGCATGGCGCTGTTGAAGACGAAAGACAGCAGATTCACGACTGTGGAAATCATGGCCAGCAGACTCAGCGGGTTGGGCGCAGCCACGAAAGAAACGACGGAGACCGACACAAAAGCAATGTTGGTGATGAAAAGAATCAAAGGAAGAAAGCGGATGACAGTGGTCAAGACGCGTTTGAGCAGCGCGCACATGCGCGCCCAGGCCTTGCCGGCCATCTTCTTGATCCACACCACTGCTTTGCTGCTGGACTTCTTCTTCCCCTTAGACCCAAAAAGTTTATTTATTTTCAACTTCACGACGCGGCCTGCGGCTCGCAGCTTGCGGAAAGCCGAGCCCAGCCGGGCCATCACGGAGGAGAAGAACACAGAGCCTGCCGACGGCTGCTGCACCACCCGCACCAGCACTCGGCTGCACATTTTGCTGCTGAGGCCCTCAGCAGCAGCAGCAGCAGCAGCAGCAGCAAAGCCCCCCAGCTGCCGCTGCTTCTTCGCAGCAGCTTTTCCAGAAGCCTGCAGCGCCAGCTTCTCCTGCAAGTCCAGTGCAAAGGACTTGAACACATCTTTGGACTTCTTCCGCGAGCGAGCCGGCAGCTCCCACTTGAAGTCCGGCGGAAGATCCACGGCGGGAAGCGCCCCGCTCTCTGCTGCTGCTGCTGCTGCTGCTGCTGTGGCGGCCTTTGCTGCAGCAGCTTCCGACGCGGAAGCTGCAGCAGTGTCTTCCGACGGAGCTGCAGCAGCCGCTGCTGCGGGACCAGCAGCCGCCTCCGATGGGGAAGCTGCTGCAGCCTCTGCTGCACCAGCTGCAGCAGACTCTGCTGTAGGAGCTGCAGCAGCATCTGCTGCAGGAGCTGCTGCAGCAGCATCTGCTGCAGGAGCTGCTGCAGCAGCATCTGCTGCAGCAGTATCTGCTGCAGGACCTGCCGCAGCAGCATCTGCTGCAGGAGCTGCTGCAGCAGCATCTGCTGCAGCAGTATCTGCTGCAGGAGCTGCCGCAGCAGCACCTGTTGCAGCAGTATCTGATGCAGGAGCTGCTGCAGCGGCAGCGTCGGGTGATGGAGCAGCACCTTCCGGAAGGGGTGGAGCCGTCTCTGCTGCAGCAGATTTTGTTGCAGCTGCTGCATCATTTGCAGCAGCAGAAGTTAGGGGAGATGCTGCATCAGCTGCTGCAGCAGAGGCTGCAGCATCAGCAGCAGAGCCTTCTGCAGCAGGCGCTGCAGAGTTGTCTGCAGCCCTGGGCTTCTCCGCTGCGGCTGTCTGCTGGCCGTTGGCTGGCGGCTCTCCCGCTGCAGCAGCAGCAGCAGCAGCAGCAGCAGCAGAGCTAGCGGGCTCGTTTTCTCCCCTTAGTTGAAGGAAAATGTCTTTTTTGTTCTCGATACCTTCGGCGCTGAAATCTAACAGCTTCCGATGCTGCTGCCGGAGGGCTCCCGCTGCAGCACGGCGCCTGGGGGGGCCCCGGGCCCCCTTTGCCGGGAAAGCTGCACCTGAAGAGCCCCAATTGTCCCAATTATCTCCTTTTTCACTTTGTACAATTGTGTAGAGCCTTGCATTTTCTTTTGGGGCTTCTCTGAGGGGCGCAGCAGCAGCAAAGTGCCGGCGCCGCTCAGCAGCAACGCCAGCTGGGAGGCGCAGGTCTGCTGCTCTCCGGGAAAGGCCACACGCCGAAGCAACAAAAATGCAAATTCCACAAATTCCAAGAAGAACGCGTTTCATTTTCGAGAATAAGATCCGCGAAAACGCCCCATGGAGGCACTCGAGCCCGCAGTGGGAGCTAGGCGACAGCGAAACTCTGTGCAGAACATGGGCCGACAACGGGTAAAACAAACCCAGTGGGAGGCATAAAACGCGAAATTCGCTATTAAATCCTCTCCTCTTTGATTTTAATTAGAAGATCGAGCTTAAAAGCAGCGGCGAATGGGCAAAAGAGTCCCGAAAATGCGCAAGGTGGCCGACGACTGCGCGGGCGGACCAGCCGGCTTCCCCGAGGCGGCTGCGGGAATGCCACTCAAAATTAGAGTCCATTGATTCAATTATTCCAATTGTTCAAAAACAAAAGCCCTCAACAATTTTTATTGCGCAAGAGGATGCAGATTTCATGCTGCACACTGCGCTTTGGGGCCCGAGGCTTGACCTCACTGAAACCCAGAGACTTCAGCTGGCGTGCTGCTGTCCAACCTTCCCGTTTCCTTCCATTTTTATTCTTTTGTCCTTAAAATCCAGAAGAGCAATTTTATTGACACATTTAAAAACCTAAAAGGCGCCACTTTAGGCGCTGGAGGGCCTCCGAAGTTGAAAAATTAAAAGCGCTCGTTCTGACGGGAAGTCGGAGCCAGCCCCAAGCCGAGCGCCTTCGCCCTCTGACCACTAGACACCAGCAGAAACCGAAAAAAAGATCAGTTTTGTTTTTAAATGTTCAAAATAAGCTATTTTAAGCAGAATCTGGGTTTAAAATGGGTTTTTACGCGGCGCGAGCCGCGCCCGCAACGCAGACAGGAGCGCCAACCCGCCGTGCCTTGCCGCGCGAATACAACTTTTCTCCTTTTTGCAGAGCTTACAATCCAAATAAAATAAAGTATTTTATTTTGAATTAAATATTAGAAAGAAAAGGCAATTTCAGCGCTGCAGCCAAACCCCGTGTGCAGCTAGCAAGGGTCAGTGGTCCGCCAGCGGTCCAGTCACGGCCGGGGTTAACTTTTGCGGTTTTCTCCAAATTAAAGCCAAAACTTATTTATTTATTTATTTAAATTAATATTTTGCACATTTGGTTTTCAGTTTTGACCTAAAACAGATCTTTTAAGGAGAAACGCGGTCTAAGTAGCACCAAATAAAAGACTGAGAAGAATGAAAAATTCAGTATTCTCTGAATCTTCCATTTCAGTGTTTTTAAGGAGTTCATCAGTTTGTTTTCTTATTTTGTTTATTCATTTAATTAAATTCAACTTGTGCAACTTCAATTTAATTCATTTCCCAATCCCAATCTCGGGAAGCCGATGCAGAAAACAGCTTGGTGCAAGTTGCTGCTGCAGAGAGTCTTGAGGCATTGCCAACTCTACTTTAAATGTTTAATTCATCCTTTCGGAAATAAATAATAAATTAAACTTTTCTTTTTTAATTTATATTTCTTTTTAAAACGACTCGCAGAGCTGCAGCAGCAAAGCAGAGTTTGCAGAGCTCATCTTGAATTAATTCAAGTTGATGGGCACGCAATTCACTTCTGAGTAACCACTGCCGCAGTTCTGCTGTCTTCTTTCAATAATAATAATAATAATAATAATAATAATAATAATAATAAATATAATAATAATTTTATTTTATTTCCCGTTTATGTTTTCTTTCAGTTGAGTTTGCTCGATTTCGCTGCTGCTCCTGCTGCTCTCCCGTCGCTGCCAAAAGCTGCATTTCAGTTTTTTGAAATCTTTGAGCAGCAGCAGAGTCTCCTTCAACTTCAGAATATTATTTTGTTTTCAATTAAAGAAAGTTGAAACTGAAATCTGCAAAAAGAAGAAAAAATGGCGAAGACATTTCTCTCTTCGATAAGGATTTATTCAGCAGCAGCAGCCCGCAGCAGATCCCCCCCAGTTCTTATTTCGAAGCAACTTAAAGCTTTCTGAAAAAAACGAAAATTCGAAAATCCAAAAAAATAAAAATGAAGCATCTTTTTGCATCTGCCGGCCCCCTGGGGTGTCTAGACACCTCAGCGCAGCGCAGCTGCCACGCGAGTTCAACGCGCAGCAGCTTCTTCACTTTTTCATTTTCCACTTTTGAATCA